AAAGGGAAAAAGTGTCTTGATGCTTCAAACACAGTGTTGACATAGTTATAAACTAATTGGATACTCAAAACTCGATTGGCTTAGCTTAATTTTTGCATGCCATATATCTTTAAGTAGGGTGTCAGTCAAATTCCATAGTCAACTTCATTAAGGGACATATTAAATAGATGACCACCACCGCCATTCAACCAATACTGTGTAAAAGCAGAAATGCGGTCTAGCTGATTTTGTATTAACAAATTATCTGGACTAAACACGAACATATACGGTATTATTTTACATGTGTCACAAGCAGTTAAATCCACATATAAAAAAAATGACAGGACCCGGTAAGAAATCATTCACTCCACAGGTAATCTAGCTCCCGCTACACGTAACTGAATAACATGGCTAGGGAGCACTCACTAAAAGTAATAATAGTCCCTTAGAAAAAATGACTACAAGTCCATTTTGAGCATATGATAATATTCTTAAAATCTCAATAAAAACGTTCTTATTCATTATGATTACTGTACTTTTAATCTACTATTATTCACAACTTATAAATCCAAATGAAACCTATAAAAAGCAAGCAAATCCTTGTGGCAAACTCAATATGTAATAGTAAAATAATGATTATTGTCGGATATGTTTTACAAGATTATTGTTATTATCTTACAATACTGATATGCCTTAAAGGCATCCTGGTGCAAGGGTGACTTGGGTTACACATGTCTTCAACTATCTCCAGTGTATTAAACATATTTAGGTCTTGTTTTTCTGTCTTTCTCTTTTCTACCCTATCTTCCTCTTTTGTGCTCCCTCTCCAAAATAAAGGTCTCTCTGTTTGTCCCGTTGTCACCTGCTCACTCAGTGTGTTATCACGGCGCTGTCTGTCTGTATCAGGCCCATGTGGTGTCGTGGTTTCAGAGCACAACCTGGTGCTGGGAGATGTCCCAGTTCTGTTAGTCCAGACAGGCCCGGGCATGACTGAATGTCTGAGATCCCTCAAGCGAGGGTAAAGCCGAACAGTGGGAAGCAGAGCCTGGGGCCAAATGAATGGCTATGGCTGCACAGAAACACCAGAGGGACAGATTGTAGCACTGTTGGCTACATATTGCGTATGCTGTCAGAATCCCGCGTGTCACGGATGCAGTAAGTAAAGGTTGGCATTTCTGCTGGCTAAGAACGAAGAACCCCATTATGAAGTTTAAATTGCAGGCTTCAGAATATTCAGCACCGGTTTGGATATAAAGCAAATTTAAAAGTCTACAAGTGTAAGTCCAATACAATTATTGGCACATTTTGCGAGTATCTCCTCACAGTCAGATAGCTTTGTGATTTAAGGGTTTACTGAAAAGAAAACCTTGGTTTGCACATAGAGCCCTGGCTTAGCAAATGGCCGTAGAGTGTTGCGGTTATGGCGGACTTTGAGGTTGACCTGGAAGGATAACGATAGGAACTAAGGAAACTACATCACAGTTGCATGGCTGTGCATCACAACCGCTAAGCTAAAGGCGGCTAACGTCCGATTTGAGACGTTTAGTCTCATTTAGTGATTTGTTAGAAAGCTGTTTTTAAGCGCCATCAATGCTTCCAACATTACAAGTTGGGTATGTTCTGATGCATTTTATTTCGTAGGATAGGCATTTAACCAAAGTCACTTTCTAAAACTGTGGAATGTGGGTGTAGGGAACTTGCAATGGTGACCAACTCATTTCAGGTTGTAGGACTCATTCCTGCACAATTCCATGACAATTTTTTGCAGACAGGCAATCATCATGGTGGTCAATCTTTTTTTTTTTGCATAAGATCCTTTGGGGTATTCAAAGGAAGCATAGAACGTTTGACAGTACATTTTTATGACGTCATCAACCTAAAATTATAATTTGAATGTTGATGACAAAGATATAAATTAAGCTTCAACTATTTGGTACAACTACAAGTACTTTGAGCCACAAGACAATTTTCCACAACTATAAAACAAAAACTGGCAGGGGGAGTGAGTGGTGGTAAAGTGGGTTATGTTTCAAAGGAGCACTGACGGGAGGGATGTATTTATTTGGTTGTTGTTTTCAAATATAATTTAGAATTGCTTTTGAAATAGTGAACGCATCCTTTCAGCCAACACTCAGAAGGAACAGTTAGAGGACTTTGTGGAGATTTATTATTTGACAAAAAGTGTATTGGATAGAATCCCTGACTCAGAGGCACATTTCATGTGTATAGCCCTAATATATGTAGATTCATTAAACTTGGCACCGTGCCACTGGAAGCTCCACAGGAACAGTTAACAAAAGTTTCACTTTTTCCCTACACACATACGTACATTCTTCAACGATGGCTGACAGTAGCAGCCTCTTATGAGCGTTGCTCTGCTGAGAAGGTCACAAATCGAGCCTTATAGACAGGATAGAGCAGGGACAGCAGCACATTAATTGGGTGGAGCTGTCACCTTCACATTGGAAATCTCAAAGGCACCTCCTCCAGCAGACCTAACTGAAAAATAATACATGTTCCCATGTACCGGGGAACTCTTCTAGCAGGACTTAATCAATCTTCTTTTGCATCTGTTAACAGCACTTCTTAGATATTTAGATTTACATAAAAAGGCAGTATATTGCAATAATGTAAGCCTCGCCTGAAGGACGTTGTTAATCCTTCAAACTAACAGGCTGCAGCAGCTTTTGCATCAAAACAGCCGTTGTGGTTTGAAGTGCAATAAATTGTCTTGCTGTAATGTACGCCTCTTGTTGTGTTTCACTTGGCCCCTGAAGGGCCTTAAACGAAGACTACCCTGTATAGTTCTCACAAGATGATGTCCATTTATAAAAAAAAATGAAGTCATCTGTTTAATGTTTGTGACACATAAAAGCCATACACGGACAGCAGAGTCTCAACCTTGATCTTTAGTCCTGTCAAACATCGAACTCTTTTGAATTTCTTTCTTTTATCTCTGACTTCTTCAAAGTGACAAGCTTCAAATCCTATAGCAAGCAGCAGATACATATTCAAATTAGCTTTTTTAACTTTTCTGCATGCTGTTTCCTACTGTTGGATTACTAAAAAAAGATTACTGCATAATGCAGTTTCTGTAGAACTGTCTTCTTTTCATTCACCCGCTCTGTTTCCGTTGAAGTCCTTAAATAACCTTGATCTTGCATCCTGTAGCAGGATGTTCAATCCATTTGTCTGAATTGAAGGACTTTTGCACCTACATATGTAAGCAAGGGACTGGTGTTTTACTATTTAATAACTTTTGTAACTTAGACTTGGCATGTCGATTGACACGTTTGTAACGTTGCAAGTGTTCTCAACGCCTTTTTAAAGTTTCAATGAAAATAATCCTGTACCAAGTGGTAATCAAACTGTTCCAGTTAAACCACGCCTGCATTTGTACCTTTTTGTGTATTTTTAAAGTTCTTTTATTTAGTGACTGGCTCGATTGTATGATTGGCCAAGTACCGCGGCAGTTGTTACAGCCCAAACTCGCTGTGGTGAAGTGAAGTAGCGCTTGCTCGATGATGGGTAGAAAACGAAGTAGAATAACAAAAGGAATCACATTACTGCAGTGAGAGTTGCCAAACAAGTTTTGTTGTACTTTGTATGATGAAAAAAAAAGATCTATTCTATTCTATTAAAGTGATACCAATACCAAAAGATCACAACTTTTTTAAAGCAGCATTTTCTGAACTATAGTGTTGCCGCGGGAATGTAACGCCATTTTCCAGTATTCCGGTTGGTTCAGTTAACAATTCTAGCCAGGTAAGCACTTTAATTTATGTTTGCACTATATTGCTTCAAGCTCCGTTAGCGTTGCTATCAGCTAGCTCATTTATCGCAATTTTGAGAATTACATGGAGATTCTCTCCCTGATTGTATTTTCGTATTGCAACCTTTTAAGGGTACTGGCATTGTAACTGGTATTGTGCCTTTATTGTAGACACAGAGTTGAAACAGGGAGACAGATTTAATGACTGGTCCGGAGCCGTATTCCAAACCCAGTCCTCCGGTTAAACCATACCCAATCCTATTAACATGTGATACCTAAATGTATTTCTCATGCTTGACAGAGTTAGGTAAAAGTTAATTACTATTAATGCATGTCCGTCATATACTTTCATTACATCGACATCTTTGAATATTACTAATTTAAAGCCTACAAACCTAAAGGCTACTTCAAACTGCAAGCCTTAAAGCTCAAATTAGTTCATAGCTTTTATTTCAGTTTTTTGTTTTGTTGTTTATAAAAAAAATTAAATGTAGAAATTGGTCGCAGTCCTGAAGTCAGCGTTAACGGTTTCATTTCACACTGCTGTGCAATGGAAGCCAGCACATTTTTGCGTAGATAATAATGAGGACACATCATTTTAATTATGTTTTTTATGTCACAATAACTGCCTCATTTGTACAGAGGTGTGTGTGTGTGTGTGTGTGTGTGTGGAGTGAGGAGTGGAGGAAAGTACAGTAATGTGATGGTTTCACAATTTCAAGAGCTGCTTTTCCATCTGTCAGTGCCTCTCCACAAGACCACGGAACAACTGTTTAAAATTCAGTTTTTGGTTTGTGAAGCACCTTGTTACCTTTTTTAAGAAATTCTGTATAAATAAAGTTCGTTTGATTTGATATTATGGCATCAGAATTGCATTAGTTACGATAGTTTCAAACTGAGGTTGCATCGCAAAAAAAACATTCCCCACATTCCATGTGATTTAGTGAAAATAAAAACAGATCTCAGTGTGAAATATGCAAAAAATAATTAGTTTTGGGCAACTTCTTGTGACGGCAGCCTTTATTTTAAATGTATGATTTTCTTGTTAAATGCATTTCAAAACTATGCATGGTTTTGTTGACTGAAACATTATTAGTGTTTTCTGAATGAGCAGTCAATTGGTTTATCCTCCGCATAAAAGGTATACCTTTATAGTCTATGATTCTATAGTTGTGACAGATGCCAGAGCTGCATTTTAACCATCTTGGTCATAAACAATTAGTGACTCAGTTTTGTCTCTGCGGCAGAGCAAAGAGGAGGGTGGAGACGGCCTGATGGTGAAGCTATCCAAGTTGAATGGACTGAAGAAGATTGAAGATGAAGCGGAAAGAAGAGAGATGATTACACCTGCCCTTAGAGAAGCACTAACAAAACAAGGTAAGAAAATTGAGGATGTTTTATTCAGTAAAAGTCCTAGCATTAAACCCATCAAATGAGAAACATCAATATGATTTAGAATGGCCACTTCATGTAGTGGTGGTCTTTTATGAATCTTTGACTTATGTAAATCTGTTTCATTTCCAAAAGAACATCTGCTGGTGTCACTGGTGACTGTGAATCATTTATTCATATTATCTAGCTGCGCTGCTCTGCATTAAAATAAAAAAAATAAATCGAATTACAGACCATCTGTTATCAGTATATATGCTTAACCCTTCTTTCTCCACAAGGGCAGCACAGTCGTAATTCTCTTTAAACCATTTTTGGAATCTCAGCTACATATGTAGGTGCCAGGTAAGAAGATCATTTATATGTTTGGTTTAATTTATCAAGTATCCTCTTTACTTGCTTCTAATGCTAATTTATGTTGCATACCAGGCAGTAGGCAGCAACATATTGGAAACTCTGGTAGAATTATGTAAAGGTTAATCAGCTGCTGAAAAACCCAATTTTAAAGAGACCCTATTATGCTCTTTGGAGTGTTCCTTTCTCTGTAGTGTGTTATAAAGGTTTTTGTGCATGTCTGTAAAGGCTACAATCCCTGTGTCTCCTCCAGAGGGAGTTTCTCTCCCAACCCCCCCCC